GGTTATGTGCTTCCCAAGCTGTATGTGAAGCTGCATTATTGTGTGAGTTGTGCCCTTCACAGCAAAGTGGTCAGAAATCGATCTCGTGAAGCCCGTAAGGACCGAACTCCTCCACCCCGATTTAGACCTGCTGGTGCTGCCCCACGACCTCCACCAAAGCCCATGTAAGGGGAGCTGAGTCTTAATGGACTGAAGAAAACTCTTCAGAAAGAAATAATAAAATTGAATGTTACACTTTAAAAAAAAAAAAAAAAAAAATCAACACACAAAAATTAGCTTCATTTCTACACATTTATGATGAACAATCCGAAACAGAAATTACAAGGACAGTTTTATTTAGAATAGCAACAAAAAGAATAAAATACTTAGAAATTAACTAAGAAGGTAAAATATCATGACAATCAAAACTATAAATGCTGCAGAAAGAAATTAAAGCTGGGCATGGTTGTGAAGCACTGTAATTCCAGTACTCTGGGAGGCTAAAGTAGGAGGCCAACCTGGGTTTTACAGTGAATTCAAGCCCAGACTGAGCTACATAGCAAGACTGGAAAAGAAAAATAAGAAAGAAAAAGAGGAGGGGAAGGAAAGAAAACAAAAATTAAACAAAATGTAAATAAGTGGAAATGTTCATGACTTAGTAACCAGTCTCATTAAGATGTCAGTACTACTCAGAGCAAGCGGTACACTCAACACAATGCCTTCAAATTCCTAAGAGCTTTCTCCGCTGAAATAAGAAAAACTCATCCTAGAATGCCTAAGGAATCGCAAGGAATTCCAGAGTCAAAATAATCTTGAAAAGGAAGAATGCCAGTATATTCACATTTCTCAATTTCAAAACTTTTACAAAACTACAATAATCAAAGCAGTTGGTACTGAAATTCAGTACCACAGCCAGGGATGGTGGTGCACACCTGTAATCCTAGCACTCAGGAGGCTGAGGCAGGAGGATCACTGCAAGTTCGAGACCAGCCTGGGCTACAAAGTGAGCCCAAGGCAGCCTGAATTACATAGCAAGACTGTCTCAAAAAAAAAGTACTAGAGAAATGGAACAAAACATAAAGCCCAGAAATACTTACACATACTCAAATGATTATTGACAAAGGTAATGCAACCAACCAATCTATTTTCTGCTGCTATAACTGTATAACACAGACTGGAAAGTTTATAAAGAATAAAGGGCTATTCAGCTCACTGTTTTGGTCACCGTGGGGTCCAGGGTAGAGGGGCTACACGTTGTGGGGACCTTGTTACTGGTGGGGACTTCATGGAGTAGCAGGGTAGGAAAAAAAATGGCAAAAGGAACATATCTAAGAGTAAGACTGGCTTTTGCAACAAACTGATTTTCAAAATAAGCTATTAATCCATTAATCCATGAATAGACTAATCCATTCTTAGAGGCAACAGTCCTAATCTAATTACCTTTAGGCTCCACCTAATCCCATCTC